GATCATCTAGTCAAACCGCAGAATAACGCAATCCTTATTATAACATAACCAAAGTAAAGCGCGCGCTCTGATTGGTCAATTTAGCGTCCCCCATTTGCCCATGGGTGTACGCTGCTGACGTGAGCAAATGCAAAGACTATTTTTCCGCGCGCGCTTGTTTTTTCTGGTCACGTAAGATTTGTTAAATAAAAGGGAACTCTTTAGCTACAATGTATCAATGTTATGTTATAAAACAAATGGTAAACACCACAGCGTACACTATTGAGTTATGGATGCACTTGGGAGGTTTGCTAAGCACTCAAGAAGCTAGAGTCGCTCTCGGCTATCGCCTCGAGCGACTCTTACGCTTCTTTCGTGCTTAGCAACCTCCCGCGTGCATCCATAACTCAATAGTGTACGCTTTGGTGTTTACCATTTGTTAACCATAACAGTCATACCAGAGATTTCCGCAACTACACCATACATGTCCGTTAGCAAACCGCCTTACCTCGAGTGCTTACAACTTTCATAAGGTACCCGGTTGCGCTGGAATTGTTTGAAACTTAACGTCTTGGCCTGATATTAATTCATATGTCGCGATTTGTTGGTTTGTGGGCTTTTGGGAATTTAGTAGGCCCCAACAGAAGCCCGGACCAAAGCAACCCTGTAACAGTTGCGCGTCTGAAATATGCTTGAGAAACCACCGCATAGAATCCCTTAGATGAATGCGATTATTTAGTGCATGCAACGTTTGTAAACGACTAATGGTCAGCCATTGCTATACCGGAACAATTCCAAGTGCTGTCAATTAATAAAAATTTGCTTAAATGTCTGTTGGCCGCTGCTGCGGATTAGCTTGAAATAATTAATCCACTTTTAACACTTCTCCATGACTGTCGTGTTCCTTTTGTTACAACGCATGCGTGTTCACTCTCATTTAGCTCCACGAGCACATTCTCGGCCCCAGAGTCTTCCTGTGTCGTACGTGCTCTATGGAAAAGAGAAGTGCTCTGGGAAAACTTCAAATTAACAATAGAGTCTAATTCTTTTTTTCCTTGCTAGACACGAAATGCTTCCAACTTTTCTTTCTACATACGTGATCTTTAATAGTCTGCGAGTAGGCCCTCATTCTAAGCGTTTCGGTTCGAGTGTTTCTTCGCCTGCTGAAAAATATGAAGGCCTCAAGCTACGCGAGCCGATGAGAGGTCTCAGTGCAAGGGGTCTGGAACTGGCAAACCTCTCCCCGAGTCGTCTCCTATCTTCTCGCGGGCAGAGAAAAGCGTGTCTTGCAGCGGAAATACTGAAGGCGTGGCTCCCAGGCTATCTTCAGTGTCTTACTTTAATAACTTAACCTGGCTTCCTTAGTTTAAGAGTTATGGAAAAGGTTTTTCGATAGAGGCGTAGCGAATAAAGAAGCTAGAATAAAGGAAAAAGAAGAAATAACTTTGAATTGATTTCGCTTTGCTTCTCCGTGTTCTAGCTCGCAATCAATATGAGTAAAACCAAAACAAATCGCAACCTGATTTATTGCGTGTACTTACGCTTGAAACAGTTACTTTGAGTTTTCTGGTCTTGAGAGATTTTCCCTCCTCTTCCTTGGCCTTGACTTAAGCTCGAAATAGAGGACTCTGACATGAGCGCGAATGAACGACCGGTTTCTCTTTTGGTACTTGGGAAATTTTCCCAGAGCATATCCAAGGACGAGCATGAGGCACGGGGCACTGGGGTCAAGGATGATCAGTGCATACGCACAGGTGCGAGGTCACTCCGGCCCGTGTTTGATTGACAGAATTGTTAGTGACGTCACACTGAATGCCGTTTTTCAGGGGTTGTCCACTCACCTATCGTCTGTCTCTGAAGAAAAGAATATTCTTCTGTCCGAACTGATTGCTCTTCAAGACAACTTTATCCAGGAGCAGTGCATTACTACGGTACTGGTCTATTTAACCGACGCATGCGTGCTACAGCTCATTCACAGAGCTTTTCATCACTTCATCCGGGAAGGTCATTAATCCAATGTCAGCCATTTTGAATCGTGAAGGATTGTGTGCGAGCGAAAGATTTCGAAACGCATTTAATCCTAACGAATTCAAGAGGGCTGCAGTTTTAAAATGTCCCGGCATCATGCAACATTCTCTTTAGCGCTAGCTTCTCGCTATTTATGAATAAACTAACGCCAATTTCTGTTTTCATTTAACCTGCTGCTAACAAGCGCCATTTTGTACTTCACACACTCATGTCAGAGTCCAACGGAACTTGGCATGTAACAATTCATTGCTTGTTTTTTTATCTCTGTTTTTCATCGTCAGTTATTCATTTAAGACGCGGCTTTTAGTATCAGTTTCCTCATTTCTCTGCAAAAATTCTCGATACAGTCATCATTTTACCACTTGTAGTTGTATTTCGTTGCTGCGACGTTCAACCTTGTAAGCTTCCTGACATAATACTTGTAAACATCTCTTTCTTGTCACGAATCTCTTCCTATTACTTTGCTAACATTCACTTTGGGGTTCTTTTGCTGTTTAAAACGAGGGTTTGGCTCACATTCTGGTATGAGCAGAAGTGTAATCTTTCTTGGTGCTGGGTAACGATTCAATAGTTTATTTGTAGCTTATTTTCTGGGTAAACAGCGATTAGCACATACAGAACTCGGTTTAAAATTTTAAATTGATTTGATTTTTCTTTGATTCATTTTAACGTGTAACAATCATTTAAGCTTTGGTAGTTATTATGTAAGAGTGTTTTCGATTGGATGACGAAGTTTGTGCTAACCAACCAGAGTGAATTTGTACGCACGGTGTCGTTCCTTTGCGTGCAAAAGTTACCAATGGTAGCTTAACTTGGGTAGCGTTTCCTGCGTATATAACACTAATGTAACTGTTTTCGCGCCAAACAAGTGGTAAACATTTTTTTTTTTTTGGAAGTGTAGTGTCTCCCGCGCTTTTCAAAGATTAGGTTGCTCTGCTGTTTACTCGTTCACTCGGCTGCAGTTGCGGGGTTGTTCGATGAGGTCTAATGGTGACGATGTGTACAAAACTGCAAGTTATCATTACTCGTCGAAGTAAAAGCAGTGTCATTTCTTTCTCTCAATTAGGACCTGCGTCAGCAGTTAGATTTTGCTAGGAATGACAAGGAACAACTGCATCAATCTTTGAAGCTGACTGAAGAACAGCAGACAACACTCAACGCCAAGTTAGAGGTTTGTATCGCGTTCCTTTTCGTGCAAAACTGAAGCAATGTGTTTCATTTTTCTTTTCAGGCAAGTGGAGGAAATCATTAGGGAGGGGCGAGTAACATGCGAGAGGTTTAGCGAATCGCGTGTGAGACGTGGGGTGCCTCGTCTCGCGCGAGGCTTGCCCTTCACGCTTGTCCTGTACTTTCGTCCGTTTGCCAAAACGTTACTTCTGCAGCTTAGTTATCTCTAATACCCATCCACACCCTCTATGTTTTTGGTTATGACTTTAATGTGAGAATTCATCTTGGTTTTTGAAATCCATGTTGTGTTGTTTTATTGCAGGATTCTCGGCGAGTAATTCAAGAGTTAGAGAGTAAAACTCAACTGCTTTCAAAGCAATTAAAGGAGGCGAACGAAGAGAAATCTGTAAGTACTCATGTTGTAAATCGTAGAGTAACCTGTTTAACCCCCCCCCCTAAGGAGCGACAACTACCTAACTTTCTCTTACGTTATCACTACACTGCTACGTTGGAAGCGAGTCACGATTAAAAAATGTGTTTCATAACAATTTGTTATCAAGTCCTCTACGTGATAGAAGAACTCTCTAAAATCTGCCTTCGTGTGGCTTCGTTACAATGTTGTTAGTAGCGCCCAAGTATCTGGGTGGCACAGGTTTGAATCTCGTCGAAGCCTGAATATTTAAAGCTGCTTTTTTTTTAATTGATGAAATTGCAGTCCACCTTCATACATCAGTTTTTTGCTTGATTTTCATCCGTAGGTCAAGTTGTTTTGAAACAAGATCCCTCAAATATTTAATATTTTAACTTTCTTGTTATCGCATCTCTACTCAAGAATATACTGACGCTGTGGCATGAATTGAAACTCTTACAACTTCCGTTGCTTGCGGCGTACGCGTGTGCATGGAAGGTTACCTAGCAACGGTTATGTTTATTGAATGTGACATACGTAGCGTCGTCCTTTTTTTTTCGAAGATTATGTTGACTTATTTTTTTGAAGATGTAAATTTTGCCTAAATTGTATATTGGTTTTCTCGTGAATATATTACTGTCTGTAAAAATAGTGCAGATTGAATATTTCACCACGTTACAACAAAGTTCTAACTCATTTTTACCCCGTCTAGACAAAAGCGACTCCAAAAATTGAAATTAACGTATTTCGCCATGTTTTGGCTAATGTATTACAAGGATACCTCCTACATTTGTTCACAAGGCGTCATTTTATTACGTCTTGGTTAGTAACTTATACATCCGGTTGCGTAGAGATTTGCATATTGTCATTAGTCCAAGACACCTATAGTTCGAAGCGTATGCCAGTAAAGTTACTCGCGAAAATGTGTATTCTTTGACAACTTTCCGAATTATTTCGAGCGTGTTTCGTTTTGTTTTCAGGAAGGTATGTTTATTGTTTGAATTTTTTGCACACGTGCATTCTATTTCTTCAAACTTGTGTTCGTTAAAATGAGTTTGCTGATGATGTATTTACTGACATCCGTTTGTTACCTATTAAACGCTCAGCTTTTAGATTTTCCTTGATTATTTCATTTATAGTTTGGTAGGATGCAACGATCAGTCTGTCCTTCGACGAAGCAAATTAAGATTGTATACTCAGCAAAGCTGTTTGTGTCTCCACCTGTAAAAGTAAAAAGTAGCGTAAATTGCGAAGTCGCATGCGTGATCGATTTTTTCGATTCAAAAGGTTTACTTTACTGATATGTGCGATCTTTGAAGCAGCACTGGGTAATCTTTTGTGATTTTGTTCCCAGTTTTTAGTACAGTGTTTGTTATTTATAATTTCGATTCTTTTCTGTCGAAACTATACTGTACAAATGGTATTTTTGTTAAACTTTCGCCGCGCCACGTCAAACATTTTCATCGGCCAATTTTCTTATTAATTTTTTTTTCTTTTCAGCACCAAGAAGCGGAGATCGAAGAGCTATTTAGAACGCAAGACGATCTCCAAGCTAAATACAACGATGAATTGAGAGAGAAGAAGGTAAAGTTGTAAACTAGATAGTCCAGATATATTGGATCGCGTGACTGATGAATTGGTAGTGGACGCATAATTTATTCGAACATATCAAATGCTTGATGTCACGCTCTTTATTTTTGCGAGTGCGGCCATTGTAGGTGAAAAATCTCTCTGAAACAAACTAAATTATACTGAAAGAGAAGGTTCCAAGTGACTTCTTGTTTTCTGTTTTGCAGGTACGTTAGACAGTATTTCGAACAGCGAGCTTTTAGTGTGTACAAATGTACTTGTTTCCCATTGTCATCACGAAACTATAGCGTATTTTAATCATTGTTAAATTTATCCTCAAATTTTGTTTCTCGAAGAATTATTCAGAATTATACCTAGAATTTAATTTCAGAATCATAGTTTATGGCATTGAACGTATCTGAAGGTCAGGGGTTCGGTCGTTCGGTAGGATTCGTATTATATTCGTTTTCCACGCTCGTAACAAAACGAAGAACAACTTTATTTACTATCTTTTTTGCCATTATAAACAGTCGTTTGAGGAGGCCAGCGCATATGACGTTCGTTGGGACTATATCGTGCTGGTCCGCTATCAAACACCATTCCAGAACAAGATTTTTAAAGCGATAAAGAAGGATCTTAGAAGTGATACAGTTTTGTTGACATCGTTATGAAAGACGATCTTATTTTGTCTTGTGATCAAGAAGACCACATACAGCGAGGTTTCACTACTTTTATTTGCGGCTGTAGTTGTTGTTGTTTTTTTTTTTGTGCCTTGGTTATTCATACCTGTTCGGTAATGAAAATATTATCCTCGTAAGTAGCTAACAGGGTCGTATTATTCGATGCTTGAGATATATCCCTCATAACCCACAATTTCTCTTTCCCTTGTTGTTTGGGTACAAACAGTTTTTCATTCTTAGGTTTAGCTACAGTTCTACGTCACGAAATAACTTCCAACGCCATTTTCTATCTGTAATATGCCTCTGTTTTTCCAAACAGAGCCAGTCATAACTCGATGTTTGCTTTATTGCAGGAGTTGAATGATTATATTGAGCAACTACACGAGGAGCTGGAGGATCTTCATGTACAATTCGACGCGCTGTCGAAGGAACACAAGGTACAACTTTGAATACAAAATTTATGCTCAGATCACTGTTTGTTCGCTTTATAAGGCGTTTAAGCAATTTTGTTTCAACAATTCTCATTGTCGATTCGGAACAAGTTCTCGTGTTTCCTTGTATCCCAAGACTATCGAGAACCATTTTACTTATCACCTAGAGGCGAGATTTTTTTCGTTTTCAATCCGCTTTTATCCTCATCATCGTTTAAGTTCCTCTTTCCTTGTTGGTTGTTTTCTTCTCATATGGTTTTTTATTCCGCTAGAGCCGTGTTTTTTAGGTTGTATTATTGATAAAGAAAGTAGCATTTGAAGATCCAATAAATGGCTTCAGCTATCAGCTTCTGTCTTTATCTAAACCTTCAGACTTTCGTTACATGGTGCGGCAAACGAAAGAATTTTTTCTTTCCTAAGCTCGCCTAATAATCCATGTTTTGTCCGTTCTTTTTGCTTTGGAAATAGTGGGAAAAGTATTGCCCAGTTTTGTGTCCTGTTCTCTTTTTTTTTTTTTTTTTTCATTTGTTTTTCCCTTTAACCTGTTTGCGTGACACTTCGTCGGGAAAATTTAGAAATCGACAAAAGGTAGTTTGGTGTAATGAAAATTAAATGTCAAAATTTTGGAGATGAAAAGATATTTTTTCTCTCTTGGGTTTTTTTCAGGATTTATCGGGAAGATTAGCTGAAATACAGTCAGGTCAATTATCCACAGAATCGCTTCATTACCAGCAACTTTCTGAGCTTCAAGAAATAAACAGCGGACTACAACAGGTAAATCACACAACACAGTCTCATGTCACGCGCTCTTGAAGTTTTATGTAACGAAAACAATCTACACTTCATTGCTCTACGCCATCGACAAAGGGAAGGGCTCACAATTTCAGCATTTTTTGCTTGCGATTTAGGTTATCGTTAAAAAGAGAGAGTTTTTGAACAGACTAGAACTAAAATATATGTAATCAGAACTGATCAATATTTTGATATGTCACACTCGTGGTAAGCATAGAATCATTCCCTGAGTGTGACCTGCAACTAAGTTCTCGTTTCAGTTATACTGCTAAATCATTTATTGAGATCATCTGAATAAAAGAAATGGTGTCCAACCTAAGAAGCTCTGATTGTTAAACGAATTCTCCTTGTCAATACCAGAGGAAATTTATATTTAACAATTCGCCGAAGGCGAGGTGAATATTGTCGAATAATCCCCTCGACTTCGTCTCGGGGATTATTCGACAATATTCACCGAACCTGAGGCGAATAATTGTTTTAGTATAATTTCAGAGCTGAACAACACAGAAATTTCTAAAATCATAACATTTTAGTAACATTTATTAACATTTTATTTTAACATTTTATACTAAACCGCGTGGAGCGGTTTATATAGCGTCATCTAAGGAACCGCTCGACCAATCAGACTGCTGGAAACTCTTTGCTCAGCTCTGAAATTATACTAAATATATATAACATCTATATATATTGAGCACTGTAACACGGAAAAATCGCAGACTTCCTACATATATACATAGATATCTACGACTATATATATGTATATATTCGAAATTTCCAACAGTAAAGTGCCCAGTGACAATAATCGCCTGCCGGACTCTTCGCGCTCTCAAACAAAATCGTAGCCATACTAAGCAAGGCAGTCGTCTGATTTTCTTTGTACGAAATTGAACCAGGTCCTTTAGGAGTCATCTTCCTAGAACTACAACATCAAACTGATGCTTTGAACTTCCCATATCTCCCTCGTACCCTAGCTAGCTTGAAATTTTCGATTTTTCTCCTAAAATAGTTTTCACGCAATTTTCCTTAGAGAGGTAATTGAAACGAAAGAGGTCCAACGGGGAACAAAGTTGAAAACAGCAACGAAG